GTTAGATAGACGGTGAATAAATCCTAACTTCTTTCTCTGCTCTAGTTTTCTCATTTTTCTTTCTTGGATTGACAAAAGATGCAAATGACTGAACTCTGGCTAAATTAGGAATATAATCCAGGATGAGGAGAGGCAGCGGGAATTGAATCAAAAGGAAAAGGTTGATTCTTCTTATTGTTTCATCTGGTAAAGGAGTATTGATTTAATAGGAAGGAGTATGACTCTTTTACTCTTTAATCAGGTTCAGTAGTTCAGGCAATAGAGTAGAGGTTGAGTCTTGAAAAGGAAGCAGCTAATCTAATTAATGAATTTACTCGACTGTAAATAAAGCAGCTAACTCTTGAATTTCTTCTGGTTTCGGCTTGACTGACTTCCTGTCCCTGAATTTCTTCCTTACGGTTACTATTCATTCACTTCTCTTTCTTTCCTTCCCGCTCAGGAGTATTGATTTAATAGGAAGAACTATTGATCTTTTACTATTCAGGCAATGGGTGAAACCGACTGATAGGTGAATGGGGAGTCAATTCATTAGCAGCTTGACAGGCGAGCTCCGGCTGCCCCTCTATTACCAGATGTTCTTGTTGAGTTATTCTTTCACTCTTTCACTCGTTCTCTTTTCTTTACTCTCGCTATAGGTTGAAATGTGGCGATACCTTTCTTTACCGTCACCTGTTAGCTCTATCCGCCACGGGTTAGCGACATAAAGTACGAATAAAAGTTCATTGGTACATTTTCTTCTACAACTGACTGAACTATCATCACTATTCTTAAGCCTAGACTGACTGGGGGTGTGTCATATGCAACAAAATCTATCTCGCTAAGCTTCATTCTTCAAGCATTCCTCTACTCTATTTGTGAATTCATTGTTGAGAAAAGGGTATATGGATTCCGGATCATAAAGCAAAGGGAATCCGCGACCTATGTTGTGACCGAAGATTGAATGAAGGTAGTACCTACGAACCAGGAACTGATAGAATTGATGATTTGAACAGGGTGCTGCAGAAGAAGAAAGAAAAAAAGGTATAGAGGCTGCTTTATTAGATAAAGGCTGGCTGGAAAAAGATACAAGGTGGAAGTAGAAATATAAAGGTAGAAGTAGAAATCGAGTTGCAAAAGGAATTGACTCCTCAAAGGGGGTAGGAGAACTAAGCTAAGTCAGAAAGTCTTTCTTTCTTTCTACTAGCAGGGGGCGAGCAGAGTTATAGCAATTTTACTCTTTTCCTAAGGGTTGGTTATTCCTCAGCTTAGATTTTGAATAGCCCCAAGATCTTTTGGTCTAGGGCAATAAGGAGAAAGAATACGCTTTACCCAGTTAAAAAGGGTTCGTTCAGTAGTGATTTCGTTTACAGGACAGGCAATGAATTAGCGGCTTGACCGACCTACGAGTCTTTGAGTGAAATCAGGGACAGAAGTATATAGTATAGAGCTAGGAGGTTACAATGCTTTTTTCAAGGAGCGAGCAAATCCTTTCTTGTCTTCTTGCTTTCTTTTGTCTTTCCTTCTGCATTACCTTGTGTTTGAGTTCAATCTGTCTAATTCTTGCTTGCTTGGTCTTTCCTTCCAACAATGAATAGGTGAATGAATAAATAGGGAATCGTTTCATCTTCACTCTGATTCTTCTTTCGTCTTTCTCTTTTTCTCAGTAAATTCCTTTGATGTTTCTCCCTTCATTTTATCCTGCAGCGGATTGATTTATTTGTCCAAAAGCTCCTTCTTCTTTCGCTCTAGTTCCCGATTTATTTGCTTCTGCTAGTGGGACAACTATGGTATCTTGGTAATTAACCTCCTGCCCCAATGGGTTCCTTAATGCCTGACCTCAAAAAATAGTTAGAATTGAATCTAAAGAGATTGCCTTTGACCTTTCATCAACTAGTTGGATTGAACCTTCATTCAAAGTCTCACTTATTATCATCTTCTAAGAAAAGGAGCTCTTAGCATTACTTTTGCCCATTGAACGTGGTCGACCATTATTAGGCTTGGATTAACCCATCTTCAATGGCAGTAGTCCTAACTAAAGACTAAAGAAAGAGCAATCTGCTTGCTGGGCTAGTGAGACTGATCGAGAAGTACTTGAAGCTCGTTGAGACCTTTCTTTGCTTTGTCATTTTCATTCTCTACTTCTGCACTGGGACTTTCTTCTATTCTAGGCTAAAGCCCCTTTACCTTAGTATACTAAGGGTAGCAAAGCCGGAAGCCCTCTTTCAGTCAATTATTCAGATAGATAGCAGAGCTTTCGGAGTACATCAATCGACAGTACCAACTGAGGCTTCCAAGCCCACTTGACTTTCTGAGCTTGCGAAAGGAGAGACCAGAACAAGGTTTCCTACCCGCCGCCCTTGCTGAAAGGGGAAAGGTAACTGAATTGTATCATACCAAGCCTATAAGAATGAATCCCTTACACTGCAGAGCAATTTTGGCACGGCACATTTCGCGGATTTTTGCCTAATTTAACTAGTCAAAGTACGTTCGAGAAGTTGTCAAAGATCTTGTCTTTAAAATAATGAGTATATGTTGTGATCAATCAAATCAGCAGGCTGAACCTGATCACCTTGAAAGATTGGCGAAGAACATAAGCGGTTGAATCAGAGTACTAGGGCTAGGGAAAAGAAAAAAAGTCATTCATCAGTACTTTCTTTACTGTGGATGATGTCGAAAGAGCATCTAGTAGTTAAGCTTGTTCACTGAAGTACCTTATTATTACGTACGTACGGAACAAAGAACCTTTTGACTCGACACGAGGTAATGCAATAAATAAGAAGCAACCCTCAACCTCACACCCTCGCTCAAAGCTCCATTATACTATAGTCTATTATAGTAAGGGCTCGTGCCTACGCCTTTTCACACGTACTCACTCATCTTTATCGGCAGCTCCCTCTCCCTTCCGGTCGAGCACTTTTATCCTCTCCCTTATTGAAGGAGGTAAAGCAGCTTCCCTCCCTTGCTCTTGCTCTACCTCTATTTACTGTGGACTAGGACAGGTTAGTCCTGTTCCCCTTAGCATCAAATGAAAAGAAAGCAAATGAACGAACCAAACGCTCTTTAGTTTCAAAAGCATCCGCCTTTTCGATCCTGCCGAAGAAAGAGAAAAGAATAAGCAAGCTAGGAAGAGGCCCCTAAGCTCGCGAGAAGGAGAAGGGCTCAAATACAAAGAAAGGCAAGACACGCGTTAGAGAGGCACTAGCAAGACAAGGCGCAGCAATCTAATGCACTAATGCTAATGCACGCTATCTACTACCCCTAATCTAATGTGCTACTACCACGCTATACTGCGCACCAATGCTGACACTATACGCTTTAGCCCTATCAGCAGCAGAGCTAGCTGGGGAAGAGAGAGAAGGTTGGTTGGGTTGCTCAGATGATGATGAAAACGTAGGCAAGATAGTCACAGATGAGATTCCAAGAGGTTTGTCTAAGATGGGCATGGAAGCTCTCCCCTAAAATCAAATGATTCTCGAGACGTACGCATAGAGAAGAAGAAAGGCGCATAAGGTCAGGTTGCGGAATGTCCTCTCTCGTCGACCGGCAGAATAAACAAGAGTGTGACTACTAAATGTCTGGTTAAGATCTTCTTGGTAGAATGATTCGGATTTGATTGGTCCTAGCACTCGTAACGAGACAATTAGGTGTGGGGATAGGACGCGAGATGAATCACAAGGTCCCGCTGTTTTCTTTACCTTGTCGGCCTTCTTTATTCAATTCATTCCATGTCTTTTCTTCCTTCCCTTCTTTGACCTTTCTTTGGAACTCTAATCATCCCAGGAATCAGTAGTAGCTCCAAAGGACCAATCCACTCATTATGTGTATGATAATCAGGTAAGCATTGTTCTTCCTTAACCTTCTTCTACCTTTGAAGATAGCAAGGGCATTGAAGCAATACCCATGGGGACCAATCATTAAGGCAAGTCAAAGCGTGGACAAGAAAGGAAAGAAAGCAGTCCGTGAATAGAATCAATCCCTTCTCGATAGCCTTAGGAAGAGTGAATAGGCACAGTACAGGTTTAGACAGAAGAAAAAGAAAGAAAGAAAGTTGCCAATTCTCTTTCGAGCTAGTCTTCCTTTAACTATGGATGGAGATTCTAGGGGATAAAAGAAAAATCACATGTATACATCCTAAGCGTAGGCAAGCGAGGACAAGGGGAAGGGAAGAGAGTCTTTCCTTGATTTTTGGCATTCAGTAAGTAGGTCAAGTAGTAAGTAGCCTAATAAGTAGGCTAACTAAATAGAATAGGCAGGCATGTATGCTTTCTTTCCCTGAAACTCTGTTATAGGACGGAGAGGAGTATTGTATTGACCACTTTAGAAAATGCAAAAGAATCAGTCAATAGCGTTTTCAACTCTTTTTTATATGCTCCTTAGGTTAAGCAGCAACCTCTTTGAGCTCTTACCGAATCCCAACAAACCCTATACCCTATATCTTGAGATCACAACTTCTTTCAAGGACAGCTTTGAGAGAAGAACTTGTTTGTGGCTCCTTTTCATTCATTCTTTCTTCACGAGCTTGTAGAGAGCCCATGAGTTGATCAATAGTAATGGAATCAAAATATTTCTCTTTCTCAATAGCAACAACAAGATACATTGAATTTCGGATCGCAGGATTTTTTGTTCAATTACTTGAACATACTCTAAATTCTCACCCATATACACCCACGCATTTGATTAACAACAGCCAATACTATTGACGAACAAAGAAAGAACGGACTAAAGCCTCAAAAAGAGAACGAATGAAGAAGGAAAGGTTGAATGACTTTACCTAGAACAAGAACTGACTGGACTAGAGGTTAATGGGAAGGTGAAAGAAGAAGGAATTGGAGAATGAATCTTCAGTCTTAGTTTACTGTGAAAGAAAGGAGTTAAGTCAAATTAATCTTGATTGAATTAGTCTTTCAAGCTGAATCAAAGGAAAGCTAAGAGAAGAGAACGAGTTTACCTCCTGAAATCAGATGTCAGAAAAGAAGAATCAGAATAACTGGGTCAGGTAAGAAATCTAATAATATGTTCAGGTTCAGGGTCGAAGACATGAAACTGAGTTTACGAGGGGCAGGGTCGAAGACATGAAACCGAGTTGAGGTTCAGGGTCTCAGACGCTCGACGAGAAAAGGGAGGAGAGGGTGTCGGTTTAGGTTTTCGTTTTTTATTAGTTTTAGATATTGGGTGTTGTAAGATACTATCAATCCAAGATTTAGTATTGTTTTGGCGGCATGTCTGAGCGGTAAGGTAAGGCGTGGGCCTGCGAATCCCTATTTACCCAGTTCAAATCTGCTGGGTGTCGTCTCATCAACAAACAAAAGAATGGTAAAGACTTTGATTTATAGCTGATATAACTTTCTCATTGATTTTCCAGGAGAAGACAAGCCTCTTTTCTTTCTCTTTCTCTTTAGATTTGCTTGATTCTAAGCATTGTTGGGGTTCTTTAAAATGCTATACATCCTTTCGTCTAGGTTTCGGGTTTCAAGAGAATTTAGTAGAGTAATGCTAATCATTAAATCTTGCTGCTATGATAACCCTTCGACTCCGAGTGTCTACTGATTGAGTCTTGAATTAGGGAATCTCATTTGATTTTGAGTTACGGATAGGGAAGAAGATACTTTATATATGGACTCATGCATGAAAGTATCCGAGTGCTCGAGCAATCAATCACTATTATATTGAATGGCTAATTTCCTTTTGAATCTTAAAGGAACTTCTTTTCGATAAGCTCTAGCATGTAATAGGTCATCCCATCTCCTGTTTCTCTAAATAGGGGGAGATTAGATCAAATGAGAAAGGAATAATAGTATGGTTGGGTATGCGATAGCTAGTGGTTGATTGACTCTTTTTATACTCTTTGTAATGTAATGAAATGCAGGAGAACAAAAGACTAGGTCTGATTATTCCTACATGGTACTAATTTCAGACTTCCAAGAGTTTCCCCGTCTCTTTCTTTGATTTGTACTTAATTTGATTATACTAACATATAAGAACTTGTTATAATTCTATATTTTTGGATTGTTTCATCAATGGTGTTGTGCCCGAATCTCTTTTTGACTATGCGCTTTCCACTATTATTAGTTCATAATAATAATGAGTGAGCAATTATAGAATAATTCTTTTCTTTCTATTCATAGAGATAGGGGGCATAATTCACATGGGGTAAGTCGTCTCGCTTGGGCTGCTTTAATGCTACTCTTTATTCTCTTTCACTCGGAGTATGGGGAAGAAGTAAGTGGACTCTCTCTAGAAGTACTACTAATTGAAGAATGAAACTGTCTCGTATGGATTGTTTTTGGCTTATTTGATAGATCCTTCTCCAACACTTTTGATCTTTGTGACAGTAAAAAAGAGGATTATCCCTTTAAAAGTAGATACATACTTTCGACACGCAAAGAAGATAGACATAGTGGTTGTCCAATGAGATACTCTTCCATAAGAATCTACTACTTCATAATAAGATAGTACCTCGGCCTCATCCATATTACGGTGCTTCCCACTTGTTTGATTTCTTCTTCTTAGTCTTTTAGTTCTTTTCTTTATTAAATAGTAGGATTTCTGCTTCTTTTATCGAACTCATTTCATATGATGGCTCAAACATGAAAGATGGGATTGACTAATTCTTTTATAAATCCGAAGAGAAAAGGTGCCTACGGAACCGAACCCCTGGATTATCTGTCAATTGCTCAATCAATTACTTCTTTATCATGCTAGAATAAGGAAGGATTAGTGGGCGGCGCGGGGGCCTTTCGATTATTTCATTTCTGATTCATTGGAACCAAGGTGAATGTATGAAGCAAAGAATATAGAATGGGCCACGATGGATATTTTATTAACTAACTAGACATATATGTAATTGAGATGATATCTCTAATAGAAAGATATATATTGTAGATGAATTTATATTCAACCTCTAGTTTTATAGAGTACAATTTGATACACTTCAATAACAATAAGAGTATGGTAGAAGGATTCAGATCTTTCTTTACTAACTAACTCTCGGATCTCATAGAAGACTTCTCTCGTAGAATATTGATAATTCTAGTCCGCCAATTTCATTTAAGATGCGAAATGGGAATCCTTGTCATTTTGCTTATCTTCAATCATTGATAAGAACAAAGAAAGTCAAGATTAATTCTTTTTAATCACTTTGACTCTCTTTACGTCTATTATTAAGTAAGCAGTAGGAACTATAATGAACGAACAGTGCAGTAGCAATATAAATGCTAGAATAGAGACGACTTCAATAATCTCTTTGTTTCTGTTTTGATAGGAAGATCTTTTATCCATACCGAATTCAAAGAAAATGGGATTCCCGAGATGCAAGAAAGAATTTCTTTACTTTTAGTTTCTTTCGTCTTTCTTGCATTCTTTCTTTTCTATAATCTACTGCCCTCTCCTCTTGTCCAATGCAATTATCTGGTTTAGTCTCATTATCAGGCTACCTTTACTTACTACCCTCAGTTTATAAACAAACTCAAAGCAAAAAATAACAGGGAAATTCATTCAAGGAAAAGGAGGTAGGTTCGTTACTCCTGACTTTTTGTGTATCGTCCTACCTAATTCCCTTTGTGTATGTGCTTCCCGAAAAGGTATAGTAGTCTATTCCATTAAATGTGGTGGGTGGCATAATGAACTAGATCGAGTAGGGTATTCTTTCTTTTCTGAAATATGATGCGCGATTCGAAGGAGTTTTCTGTCTTGCATTATTCCATAGAATTCTATATATCAATTCTTTGATTTAAATCATACGAAGGCTAGTACCCTTCGGGAAGTTATTGGTTTGCCATATGCTATAAACGAACAGGATGAAACTCTCTCATACTTAATCTCATTGGTAAGATTAGGTTAGGTAGGTGTATATTTCGATCTCACATTAAGCCAAGAAATTCATTCAAGGAAAAGGGAAGGTAGGAAATCTGGGGAAGAGAGGAATAGGGATCCACAAGTTCTTGTTAGAATTCTTTTTCTCGCCAAGTCTCATTACTGCTTTATCAATGATTCGGTGAATGGATCTATATTCAAGGGTGTACATGTCTCCATCAAATGAATTAGGGTGGGGCTCATCCATTTAATTAGGATCAAATCCAATAAACAAACCATTTTACCTAGACTAAGTAGAGTAATCAATCCTCTTTTTCGTTCCTAAATCAGCGAGTGGATAAGACCCATTTATGTACATTCATTTCTAATAATTATAGAGATGCAACTCATCGTGGCTAGTGGCTTATTCAGTCAGAAATTGAATCAAACAAATAGGCCTTTTTCACTAAGTGGTAGAGTAACGAATGCCATGGTAAGGCATAAGTCAGCGATTCCAATCCGATAAGGATGAAATTAGAACAGTAGACCTTTTTCCTTTCATTTTCATATTGATTTGGTACACACACAAGAATCCGGCGCTATTTACGATTCAATCATCTTGTTTGTACACGTTCTATAGGCAAACATGGCTATCTATTTCCCTTTCGGGCCACAAAGAAACGAACGGTTATTCCAAGTCACTATGAGCCCTTTCAAGATCTCTTTCTTTGATTCCAAACAAATATAGAAGATAAGATCCATTTCTATCTATGTGCCAAAGATTTTCCATATTGATCTTTGTTGGTCCAACAATGTGACGAAGAATAGAAAAGAGAACAACTAGATTTGAATTTACAGTATTTAGTGAATAATAATATTGATCTAGATCAGGTTATAGACCATAAATGATTTTGATATTCAAAACCCCTTAGCAAAGAAGGGACAGTAGAAATCATACCGCAATGATAGACTCGAAGGCCCGGAAAATGCTATGAGGTCTTCAAAATGGTTCAAGTTAGTTGAATAGGAGGATCACTATGGCTATAGCCGTTGTTAAATTGACCAAAGACTTAAAATTCTTTATTCGAGATTATAGATGACTGGTTACGGAGTGACTGGTTCGGTGTTGTAGGTTGGTCCGGGCTATTGCTCTTTCCTTGTGCCTATTGTGCCATACGTAGGAGGGTGGTTTACAGGTACAACCTTTGTAACTTACTTAATGGTATACCTAACGATATTGGATTCGCAAGTTTCTATTTGGAAGGATGCAACTTCTTAACCCGCCGTTGTTAAGACAGACTCCTGCTAATAGTTTAGCACACTCTTTGTTCTTACTATGGGGTCGCACAAGGAGATAGATTTGACTCTTTGGTGTCCATTAGGTGGTCTGTGGACTTTGCTTTCTTCGGACTAATAGGTGTTGAATCTTACACGGCAATTTCAATTTGGACTTGCTTGATCTGTTCAATTGAGACCTTATAATGATCATGCAATCGCAGGGACCAATTGCTATTTTTCTTTCTGTATTCCTGATTTATCTCCACTAGGGCAGTCTAGTCTTCGTGTTGGTTCTTTGCCCCTAGTTTTGGTGTAGCTGCTATATTTCTATTCATCTTTTACAAGGATTTCATAATTGGACATTGAACCCCTTTCATATGATGTTGCAGGTGTATTGGGCGCGGCTATACGTCATGGTGCTACCGTAGAAAATCCCTTATTTGAAGATGGTGATGGATGGTGCAAATAGATTCCTTCCGGGTAACCCAACTTATCCATTTATACGGTAAACTACTGGGGGCGGGCTCATGTAGCCCATGCCGGATTAATCGTATTCTATTCTGGGTCGGAGCAATGAACCTATTCGAAGTGGCTCATTCGTACCTGAGAAGCCCATCTATGAACAAAGATCCATTTTCCCTCCCCGCCCGCCTAGCTACTACTCTAGGTTGGGGCGTAGGCACTGGTGGGTAAGTAAGTTATAGACACCTTTCTGTACTTTGTGTCTTGAGTACTTCACTGAATTTCCTCTGCAGTATTGGGTTTTGATGGTATTTATCATGCACTTCTGGGACCCGATACCCTTGATCTTTTCCATTCTTCCGTTATGTGTGGAAAGATAGAAAGCAAATGACTGCTTGGGTATTCACTAAATTAGGTATAGGTTTCTTCTAGTATTCAAAGCTTTTGATTTGGGGAGCGTATATGATACCTAGGCTCCGTGGGGAGGAGATCTAAGA